ATCAGACAAATTATATATAAACTAAATTAGAAGTGCACCCTCAAATCAAATGATTACGTACACATCATTTGCACGAACTATTTAATAAAATGGTTTTTCTATGATAAGGGAACGGATATGACCAATAATTATTTAGTACTATGTTTTTATTAAAAATTTAAAAATTATTTTAAATTTTTTTTTATAAATCAAATTATTATTATTATTATTATTAAGACTAAAAATATTCTAATCCATAGATAAAAAAAATCATTAGAAAAAAAGAATAAATAAGAATACTAACTTTGTACTTTTTTATTTAAATATGTTAATTTTGTCAGTTTTAAAATAAATATATCAATTATTTTTTTTTCTTGTTTAGGGATATTAATTTTCAGTTTTTTTTTTATTTAAGAGTATCAATTTTTAATTTTTTTTATTTTAAGAATAATTTGATGATATAATTCTAACATGATAAACAAATTTTTTAACTAATATGTTGAAAGTTAATTTTTTTAAATAAAAAAATTTGAAAGTTAATATCCTTATTTAAAAACTGATAAAATTAACATATTTAAATAAAAAAAATATAAAATTAACATCCTTATTTGTATCTTAATTTAACATAACTAAATATATATTAAAAATATAATTTATTAATCTAATAATTACAAATATTAAATTAATTTAAAAATTAAAGTAAAAATTTATATTAATAAAATACTAAATTTAACCATTAATTTTTTAAAATAATCTTTAAAAATAATATTTTTAATATTAAAACTTCAATGTTTTACGTAATTTTCATGTCATTACTCTCTGTTTATGAAAAAGTATTTAATTTGTGTGCTTGTCAATCTGGTGCGTGGGCATAGCATAGTCCCTTCCGGCACTGAGCATTCGATTTGTTGAAGTATCATGATTGGTGCACACCCGGATTCAATACTTGAGTGTTGGATCCAGGTGTACACACATCATTTTTTTTTGTTGAATTGATTGGGAGGGACCCCGAAGAAGGATAATCTGTATCAGTCAGCTTGAAGAAGTGATCGTGATGGCTACCAACGATTCTATAGAGTCTTTGTAATTTTTTTTTTTAATTAGTGTAAATTTGCAAAAATAGAGAAATTTAAATCAACATTATATTAATAAAAATACACTTTTAAAATTCACTATTAACCAGTCGGTCACAAGGGTAGGTGTAAGTCTTTGTCATTTTA